TACAGAAGGCTCGGTTGGCATTTGCTAACTTGAGACATCTGTGGCGTCGTCGCGACATCCGGCTGTCTGAGAAGGGTAGAGTATATGCTGCAGCAGTTCAGCCAGTGCTACTCTACGGTGCAGAGACTTGGCCACTACGGGAACAGGATGAAAATAGATTGTCTTTGTTTGAACACCGCTGTTTACGTCGCATTGCACGAGTCTGGTGGGGTAACCGGACGAGCAGTGCTGAGGTTAGGCGTAGAGTTTTAGGTAGCCGCGGTCGTCCACCATAGATTACGCTGGTTGGGGCATGTGCTACGCATGTCACCAAATAGGTTGCCACGACGAGGGATGTTTGACGAGGCAGGGAATGGTTAGGAGAAGGTCAAGGGTGGTTAAACGAAGACCCAGCATGAGAGTATGAAAACACTAACCAAGAGACTGGGTTACGTAGGTCCCTGGCTGGGAACCTCAAGATGATGATCACTGATGGTTAAGACACTGAGCGATATGGCTGGGTGTCGCAAACAGTGGTGCTCATGCATCTACTCATTCGCTTAACACCAGTCTATATGAATCCTCTATCTTCTATTTTAATTGGCTTTTAACATTCCAGTCTTCGTTCTTCTATTTTATCCAAATGGGCGGCCAAAACCTGCGCATGAAATTGCATGGTTGTAAAAAGTGAATTCACTTGTGTACGATAACAAACGTGATCAAACATAAACACAGTGCTCATGCAATCAAGACTTTGTTGGTTCGAACTTTCTCATGCAGAGGACATCTTTATCCATTTGGTTATAGGCGATCAGTTGCGGCACACAAGTATGCATGTCGTTTCATTTTTCGGCATATGTGGATTGCCAAAACGTAGCCCGGACCTCTCACCAAACAGTAACTAACCACAAGTTAAACTGCAAGCACTGCCATCACCTTCGTCTTTCATTACTCATGATTCAGTTTTCAGTTTTTACAACCATTAACCATGCACTTTCGTGCGCCGGTTTTGGTTGCCCATTTGGATCAAAGAACGAAATGAAGATTGGAATGTCGAAGCAAATTCAAGCGGAAGATGGGGAATACATATAGAGTTCTATTTATGACTTGATACTTACACTGCAGAACTCTTTCCGTTCATCAATGTGCATTTCTGTTTTCAGCTAGCATCACAATGACGTACCATCAAATGTACCGCAGAACAACATTGGGGAATACCCTCCAGGAAGCATTAGATGAACTAGTTGATCATAAACTAATTCAACAACGGGCCGCTATGAAAGTATGCTTCAGTTATAATCCACCATGGCTTGCTTAAGGTTCTTCAAAAGTTTGACCAATGTATCAGTATTGCACTCTCCAGTCGTGTCAAAAATCGGTTGAATCTCAAAGGTCACCTGAAGACTTACAGATTTTGTGACAATGTATGGACTCTTGTGATGGAAGATGTAGAAATCAAGGACTCCTCAGTCATCATGAACGTAGACAAAGTAAGTACTACAATCCTTTACGTTGCCCTCGTTTCCCCCAATATCAGGACGTGACCTTACACTGTTGTATTCGGAAACGTGATCTCCCTTAGCTAAGATTAGACAATTTTTTTCTGCAATTCAGTTGTTTAATTACGACACCTTTTTGAGTCGCATTTTTGATACAAAAACAAATGAGTTTTTGAAGAAACATAAGTACTATAGCCAATTAGACATTCATATAGGTGAAACAATTATCACCGTCTCCGACCATCAGATAGGTTTTAAATTTGAAAAATGTTATCCTTGGAAAAAGACCTAGTCGCTTAGATCTTCTCACCGGAATTACTGATGATCTTTGAGAAATGCTGGATCCTCTTCGTTGTACCGTTTATTTCTTCCAACTGTGCTATATGACTGCTCGTAGAGATAACGCACACAAAGGACATATTTGTTCAATAGTATGGGGGCACATCGGCAGTTTTCGCGAATAATTTTTGCCGGCGTCGGCAGCTGACGTACTTTTTTCAAATACTACGACCCCATAACGGTTGTCCAGGCAATATAGGTTGTGTGAATCCCATTGGTCGATCGATTTTCGTAGTCCGAAATAAACTGATAAGCTGTAGGTGACGTGCACAGAAACAATTTCCTGAAAAAGCCTCAAGTAGATATTTAGTTAAGCCCAGAGTCGTCAGTTTACCGATGCAATACGTATTCGTGAAATGTTATTGTTGAGATAAACATTACCAGTGAATTGTCTCGATATAAATCATGTGTTGTACATATTCGAACCGTTTTTAAAGATATTGCTTTCAATCTAGCAGTAGAGAGCACACGTCGACAGTATCCTTCGAAGAGGTATGCGTAAAACCTCCATCCATTTGACATCAAAAATTGAGAAGTTGGGTAACAAACCATATAAGTCCATACTACGTTGATGCTAAGATCACGTGCTCTGTTACCCAACTTCTCAATTTTTGATATTCTCTCACTCAGCACTTCAACTAGTTTTAGCTACTTCCGTAATTATTGTTTGAAGTAGAGGTTATTATTGCCCACTCAGGTTTGATTACACAAGCTCTAGCACCCAAAACCACAGTCAGAACGCTATAGGTATAACCGACATAAACATCATATATCCTGATAAGCGAGGATAAAAATTGTCTCG